CGTCCAAAAGTCCATGGGCATCACCATTACACATGGTGCTGAAGAAATCCGGTGGCTGGCGCCTCTGTGGTGACTACAGGGCACTTAACAAGTTTGCCGTCCCGGATAAATACCCCATTCCGTACATGCACGACTTAACCTCAGCTCTAGCTGGCAAGTCTACCTTTAGCAAAGTCGACCTTGTTCGCGCCTACTATCAGATACCTGTAGCATCAGACGACATTGCTAAAACAGCAGTCATCACGCCATTCGGCCTATTCGAGTAACTCCGAATGTCTTTCGGCCTCAGTAACGCTGCTCAAATTTTGCAGCGTTTCATTCATGAGGTAACGCGAGGATTCGAAGGCGTTTATCCTTATCTAGATGCCATTCTCATCGCCAGCTCTTCTGACCAGGAACATGTTCAGCACTTCGACGCTCTCTTTCAACGCTGAACACAGCATGGGGTTACCGTCAACCCCGATAAATGCGAGCTTGGCCAAAGCTCCATTGACTTTCTTGGTCACCGCAAATCCGTTTCTGGTATTGAAGCACTACCAGACAAAATCCAGTCACCGAAGGACTATCCTGCTCCCAGTTCTTCCAAACAGTTACGCCGATTCCTTGGCCTGGTTAACTATTATAGACGCTTTATTCCTAACTGCGCGTGCATTGCTCAACAACTGACTGACTTGCTCCGCGGTAAACAACCGTCTTTTCAATTTGTAGACGACGCTAGACTATCCTTTGAGAAGTTCAAAGACGCTATCTCCAACATAGCGCTTCTCGTCTACCCAAACACATCAGCGCCACTTTCCCTGACAACTGACGCATCAGACCCTGCCGTCGGTGCAGTTCTTCAACAACTCATCGACCATCGATGGATACCTCTAGGTTTCTTCTCTAAACGCTTACAACCTGCCGAATCGCGTTACAGCACCTTCGGTAGGGAACTGTTAGCTATCTACCTAGGTATCAGACATTTTTGTCACTATCTCGAAGGTCGACATTTTACAGTCTTCAATGACCACAAACCATTGATCTACGCAATCAATGACGCAACAGACAAGTATTCTCCGCGGGAAACTAGACACTTAGACTACGTTTCTCAGGTTCCGACAGACGTACGACATGTCTCAGGTGATTTCAATCCCGTCGCAGATGCGCTTTCACGCATTCAGCAGATCGGCTTATCGTCTGGCACCAACATTGACCTAGCCGCCATGGTTGCTGCCCAACAAGTTGATCCCGACATAGACAAGCTACGACGCAACGTCTAGTTGAAACTACGCGAAGTTCCACTAGCTTCATCTGAGTGGACCATTCTTTGTGACGTCTCACAAACTTCTCCCCGACCCGTAGTTCCTATTTTGATGCGTCGACTAGTTTCCAACGCTTTACACAACCTGTCTCATCCCGGCATACGTGCTTCGTAGAAGCTCGTAACGGAACGCTTCGTATGGCCCAACGTCAATCGCGATGTCTGCCTTTGGGCACGCGCATGCTTAGAGTGTCAGCGCGCCAAGGTCTACAGACACACCAAAAGCGCACCTGGCGTCTTTCCCGCTCCTGACTCTCGTTTTGCACACGTTCATGTCGACCTCGTCGGACCTTTGCCCCCATGCAAAGGCTACGTGTACCACCTCACCTGTGTCGACCGATTCACCCGTTGGTCAGAAGCGCTTCCGATAGTCAACTGCTCAACTGAGACAGTTGCACAAGCTTTCCTAGAACGCTGGGTAGCTTAATTTGGTTGTTCAAGCGTGGTCAGCACCGACAGAGGATCATACTTTGACGGATCCTTCAGCAACCTTCTCAACGTTTTTGGTTGCCAACACAACCGAAATACCGCATACCACCCCGCAGCTAATGGGATGGTAGAAAGGTTCCACTGGCAACTCAAAGCCTCACTCTGTGCTCGATCTAGCACATTGAAGCACGAAGCACTCCCGCTCGTTCTCTTAGGCATAAGAAACACGATTAAAGCGGATTTGCACGCCACTCCATCTTCGCTATTCTTTGGATGCACACAACGCTTACCTGGTGAAATCGTCTCACCAAAAGCGCCAACAACCATCGACTATGGCGACTGCGCAGCTCGCCTATCTCATCACAGACGACAGCTTCAGCCCGTGCAACCCAGAGCACAGAGCTTGCGTACCAACCTGGACGAACGCTTAACTACTTGCACGCACGTATTCGTTCGCACTGACAACGTACGCCGGCCACTCCAACCTCCTTATTCTGGCCCTTACCGTGTCGTACGCAAAAGCGACAAGACGTTTCCCATTGACTACAACGCTAAGTCTGAGACGATTAACGTCGATCGACTCAAGGCAGCATTGCTCAACAAGTCTGACTCTTCGGTGCAACGAGCACCTTCACAGCCTGCGCCATCACAGCTCGCACCGCAACCTCAGATGAGTCAGTTCGCTCCAGCAGAACCGACAACCTCAACCGACAGCAATACTGCTCGCCCTGCTATCAATCGACGCGGTAGGGAGCTCGGACATCCAGTTCGCTTTTGGGACTTTGTTAGCACTTACTATATTACATAGAACGTGAGATATTTTTGATCTTAGCAAAGGTTTCCAAAATCCATAAAAAGAGACCAACACGTTTTGAAACTGTCAAAAAAGAGCAAAACCTTTTGAAAACCCAAAAACAGCTTTACACGTTTTTCGCTTTGAACTCTTTTGTGTATTGCTATTCATTCACACTGCTTTTTCATTTTGCTTTCCATATACACCACCGGTTGGTTGAACCGTCGGTTTCACTTTTCGCTGGACCGCCGCAAGTCAACTGGGAGTGGAAGGAACTTCCTGCTCAACCACCTATGTGAACTTTAATAACTGTCCCCCCACAAACATTTTTGTTATCGTTTCGATACCGTAGGGTGGACACTGGTGGGAGCGCGCTAGGGTCCGATTGCATGGTTCTCCTCCAGCAGCTGCATCAGGTTTCACAACCTGGTCTCGTAGAAGGCTGGCCCGTGACGGACAGTCCTTACGTAGATCGAAGGACTGCTTACACAGTTCCTTCTGGGGGAGGGCTACATAGCAGTCTGGAGATTCCCTGCTTTGCCTGTTTAAAATTCTAACGAAAATTATTTCAGTGTACATCTAGGCGACCGGTGTGGTTTGTTGAACTGATTGCTGAGTTCGAATGCTTGACTTGCGCGATGCCATTTTCTCTTGGCGTTCGTTTCGGTTGCAACACACGACTGCCCTGTGTGCTTTTGATCCTCCGTTCCCCTAGCTAGAGCATAAAGGGTGTCGTTTTTTATAGCTAGGTAACAGGGAATCTCTTACTGCACCAATAAAAGTTTTCCTGCAACCCGATCTGACTTTTCGAATCGCTCTCCGGGCTCCCGGTACAGGCCACCCACTAAAAGAGCAATCCAGGCGGTACGCTCACTCGATCCGTGTATCGCAAGCCCACTTGGACAGGACAGTACCCAAAGTTTAACAGTTTTTGTGCTATACACTATAAACGATAAATGGTTCGCACCACCACTGCGAGAGCTCGTAAAATTTGCTCTGAAGATACTATCAGCAGTGAGCTGAAGCACGTATCCTCGACCTTACAGGAAAACGGATGCCCTAAGGAATTCGTAGCACGATACGCAAACACAAAAGTAAAGAAAAACGACTGACTGATGTCCCCAAGCAAAAAGTGTCCATTACACTGCCGTTTAAAGGGGACCAAAAGGATAGAAGTTCCCGGCAACGTCTCCGACAGATGATAAAGTAGTGTTATTACGCGGCCGAATTTGTGCTATTGCATTAAGGAAGGATGCTGCTATGTAAATCCAGCCCTGACAAACCAGACCTTCTAGTTACCGCTTCCTGTGTTTACCTTTTTCATAGTAGTTGTAGTAGCAAGTACGTGGGCGGAACAGATAGAAGGCTGTCAACTAGGATTTCAGAGCACATTCCACGTAATATGGTCGCGAACGGTCCCATGTCTCCAGCAAGCTCCGTTGCCCAACACGTCCTAGACTGCTCGGAATGCCAAAATCCCCGCAAATCGTCCAGGATAATTAACCGACAGAGCAATCCCCGCTGGCTTCAGTTTACTGAAGCTTCAGCAGTTCGGTGACTGAAACCTAATTTATACAAACAGACTGAGTTTATGACTAGCCTCGCCTTGCCTCGGTAATTTTTCTTTTGCTTATCCCAAATTTAAATGCAAGGACCTTGAACGTTGTTTCTTTTTAAGCGCAACGCCATTTTCCACGGATTATAGGTTCACAGCTGATGAGAACACCCGAAATATCTGAATTCAAAGTATCCTGTTGAAATGTTGTTCCTTCTTGCTATGTTAAAATTTGTCAAGGGAAATTTTTGCATGAAATATGCCAGGATGTTCGAAATAAATGCGATAACGGGCAACAGTAGAGTAGTTATTGAATTAATGCTGTTTCGGGGAATTCTCACTTTCTCCCCGACATATGCTGAAATGTGAGCATGTGATTATCAGTAAATCTACAGTATATACAAGGGCTCTATCCTATGTGCGGTTGCGTGGAACTTTCGATATTTGATCGTGTATGTGTCGCGATACATGTATGCAGTGTGAACTTCACTGCCAATGCAGCTATGTGCACTCTAAATAATTCAAATGAACTAACTAAAATTTCTGGTGCGCAAGCGCCAACTTTATTTTCCTGACAGAAGTAGTCTTTGCCCTTCTGTGGTGCCCCAGCGTCAGCTAAAGGTGAATTGTTTTCGGCATGTCGCTTTGGTGAGATTGGTCATAAAGTCAAAGCCGATCAGTGGTTTAAGTGTGGAAGTGTAAGAAACTAGAAAGAAAGGATTGTTGGAATAAGCAAAGTTAAAGAAAGTGGTGGCTTTCGGTAGAGGATGAACAAGAAGGGTTAAAGTCGGGTTCCGACTACATAAAGAAACGGAGCAAGATGTACAGAATACAAACCTAAGGACTGAGCATGAGAAGAGAAGGGCCCATAAATGAGGCATTACAGCACAGAACTTAACAGCTTGGGGTTGAAGACCGTTTACCTTGAAAAGCGAGCGCAGCTGGTCGCCCTCTTCAACAGCATTTTTGCCTCGGCAGTTGAGTGACACTTGAATCCGAGTCTCACGTCGCCCTGTGAAATGAAACAGTGAACAGAAACTATGACTTCATCTTGAGCTGAGAAGCAGCTGCTGAGATGTACCTGAATAACAGCATGTACTCACAAATTGGATAGTGATTTGCTGAGAACCAAATACTGCCAATATGCTTGATAGGGCCTATGTAGAAATTGCTATCATTGAATAGTTAGATTGCATAACATCTCATTTCATCCAAAATAATTAGTACCTAAAGGCTGTCTAATGCCCTCGTAATTATTCCGCATGATCTAAGTCACGGACGACACAAGCGAGGAGTACTGGCAAAACGTAAACGCCCAAATTTTTCCGAAGGACATTAAATAGTGCAGTACATTGTCAGACCTCTTAGACCACCCGAACAATGATTTTTGCTAAAGCATCTTTGGCTCGATGTCGAAAGTGAACGAAAATAAATAATAACGGGTATTTTTGTTCGTCGCAGTCAGCCGACAATTCAGATAAGTCAACTACCTATCCGGAAAAGCACCAGACGGCCGTTTCGCCCTATTGGGGCTCGTCAGTGGTGCGCATCCTTCGGTCCTCTACGGAGGATCGAACCCATGATTGCTAGTGGCTTGTGCCAACTAGCCCGCAGCTTATGCAGCTGAGCCATGGAGGACGGCAGTCGACCATCACGAATTGTTAGCTAACTGCGATATGGCGCATTTCCGGATAGGTAGTTGACTTATCTGAATTGTCGGCTGACTGCGACGAACAAAAATACTCGCCAAAATCCTTCTACTCATAAGTAATACAAATTCGCCCTTACGGATTCCATAAATGCTATGTCGATTCATAGCTGCCGTAATCGGGAAGTCCTGACGCCGGAAGGCCAACCGCTGTCATCTGCATGGCAGGTGCCTGCATGGCAGTGGAGGATGGGTCGGGCTATATCGCAGTTAGCTAACAATTCGTGATGGTCGGCTGCCGTCCTCCATGGCTCAGCTGCATAAGCTGCGGGCTAGTTGGCACAAGCCACTAGCAGTCATGGGTTCGATCCTCCGTAGAGGACCGAAGGATGCGCACCACTGACGAGCCCCAATAGGGCGAAACGGCCGTCTGGTGCTTTTCCGGATAGGTAGTTGACTTATCTGAATTGTCGGCTGACTGCGACGAACAAAAATACTCGCCAAAATCCTTCTACTCATAAGTAAATAACAACGGGTTTTTAAAGTACGAAAGCAAGCAACGTGCTATGTCGAACCTAGCACGGTCATAACTAAGAAAAGAGGAGAAAGAGATTAAATGAAAAGATATTACTATTTCCGAAGCAAATGAATTGTCAAGCAAAATAGGGGTAACCTTATGTTTCGAATGCGATAGAGATGCAATGGAACACATAAACCACGCTACGGCATCCTCTATGGAGCGCTGGGGTCTATAGCTGTGATGATACAAATCACAAGCAGAAACTATAGTGAAATTTCGCTAGGCAAACGCTTTTAAAAAAGACCTTAAGCAGCCTACGTATAGACATGGCCGGGCGATATCCAAATAATTCACTTTTAACCGGTACATCACCATATGCTTTAATCGGTACAGTAGTGTCACGAAAGATAAGCTGAGACAAACGGTTAGTATGTAAATGAAGAACGAACTTGAGCTAATGAGACTGTTTTTGTTCGACGAATGCTCTAGTGTGACACAAAATTATTTACTCCAGATCCCCACGACCTTTAAGAATTGTTGACAAATACAACTGCTCAAAAATTGGACAGTCTCCTACGTTGAGCGCAAGCTTTGGCTAACTAATTGGGGCTATCAGTGTTGAGTTTTCTGCGAACCGCTTGTGTGAATGAACGTCGAGATGCGATCCAAGATTGGGCAGCGATTGACTCGGAAGTAGATAGTTCTAAGGTTGCTGACCTCCAACGCTGCACGCTGCCTTGTCCGAGGTCTTCAGTTCACTTAGCCGGCTAATACTTCATGCACACCAAAGGTATGTGGGACGCTTCAAGACACTTCGATGGACTATTAGCTGCTGAGACAGGCATCACTCCTGATGATTAATGGTTTCCTATAAAACCATCACATATTGGGTGTGAGTGTTATCATTGGCTTTCTACATGACAGGATGAAACCGCTCGTGTATTGAGGCTACTAAAAATAGTGACATCAAAAATGTATTCGCCATGAGATAGACTGCGCCTGCCGTTACACAAACAATGCAATCCCTTATAAAACAAGTGATTGTTTCCGAAGATGATAACCGCATAAATCGGGGATGAGTAGTTCGAGGTTGGTCACTTCAAGCATTGACCACTATTTGCTCAAAGCCTACCCACGGTGATAACGTGACCAATTAGTTTAGTCGTAGTTTCAAATAACCAAACAAGCGTCATGTGCTCTCCATATAAAGCAAATTTAAGACCCCCAATTTTCCACGATTCCGCAAAACGCAGAAAAATCGCGGAATTTGCTGTCGCCGAAAATGGAAAAATGTTGCGGAATCGCAGCAAACATGAGAAATTCATAAAGAAAGCTACCTTGAAATCATTTTCGTTGCAACCAATATTTGTGTACTCGGAAAAATGCCGAAGCAGCCAGCTGGCTATTAGAACATTGCTCTGGAGAATCATCACCGCCATCTGTCCACCATCTGCTATCCATGTCCGCTTGTCTTTAGAATAAAGTGGCACCCACGCATCTATACATTACGCGACCATGTCCCAGTGGTCTGCCCACGCTGTGCATTCATTCCATGGTCCAGTATACAAACACCCTTTGCCCACATGTACATTAAGTCTGTTCGACATCTGTTAGGTCACACCTTGTGCACACACCTACCTGACATACACCGCCCCCTCATTATGGTAACCCGCAAACTTGATGCACTGTCGTTTTTTTGGCGTTGAACAGTGGCCACTTCGTCGCATAGGACTTGGTGGCGCAGTATAAGCGATCAGGTTAATCCATTGACACAATGAAGTTGCCTGCATCCGTCAGTGTATTGGAGAGAACGGTGATTTGTACCCTCTCAGAGTACTTCGTGAAGACATTGTTGTTTCAGGACTGAGCAGTTACAGTTGAGGTTTGTCATTATTGGATTCTCATCTTCCTATAAAATGCACCATAATGCAGTCTCGGCTTCGTTTTCGTTTGATCTGGGATTTATACGCGCTACGCGAGAGCCAAATGAATCTGTCGCTTAAAATAATCAACTAGTTTTATCTTTTATCACAAGAAATGTACCAGAAGGTAGGAGGAATAAATGACCTGGACAGAGTGAAGGAGTTTCCTGGAGAAGACTACGTCGATAGCGCAGATAAAAACTACCGTTTTGCTCACCGCATGAACTGACTGTGGACTCATCACGAAAATCAACCGTGGTTGACCACCTTCTCAGCCAAAACCATCTTCAGAAGAAAGCTTATAAGGAGGAGCAAGCAGCCGAGCTTGTTGCCAGGGGGGATCAGTTCCGAAGAAGGCTGGACAAAAAAGCATCGTTAGTTCCATCACCGTTGCGAATGCTGCCCGGGAAACTCAGGAAACAGTGGTATCTGACTTTCTATTTTCTATGGTATCCACGAATATTTCTTCAGAGAAGACTGACAACCCCAGTTGAGGGAATTGTTGCGTAGACACATACGAAATAGTGAAAGCATTACCGGATTTAAGGTCCTACATCTGAAAATTCACCTGCTCTAAGGGAATCATAAACAAATATTGAAAGAGATGTTCAGTGATACAGCTGTCAGGGTTATAACAGACGAAACAACTGATGATCGTGAGAAGATGGAACTGCACATCCTGTTAGGCGTTCCAATGAAGTTCAACAAGGACAGTCTGCGAGCATACCTTATCAACACGGTGAATATGGAGAGAGTCAGTTCTGCCACAGTTAGAGGAGCCATTCTGTGCAGTTTGACATTTATGGGTCCACATTTCAGTCGTGTGACGTCCTTCATGTCCGATGACACTAGATATATGACAGCATGCTGGCGAGATGTTATTAAGCTTGTTTGTGAGGATCCAGTTGACATCAATTTGATTGGAGAGACCATTCACAAATTCTCTCCGGAAGTCGACCAATTCGTTGCAAAGTTGAAAAGTACTTTTCGTCTTTCGGAAAGAAAGAGGCGTATCTATATGGGGCATCTAACTCAGGAGGGTGTGGATGACCCTATCGTCCCAGCTGCACCGCACATCGCCCACGGGAAATCCTGGCTGGAAGCTGTCACACATCACAAAAAGTACTTCCATCATTACTCAGCCATGTTGCAAGCCGTACAACATGAGTTTGGAGACTCAGCTGGTGTTTGTGTACTGGTGGAGATCCTAACCAACGAAACAACACAGAAAGCTTTGAGATGGCAATTGCCTTGCATTGCGACCGTTGGCAATAACATCATTCGTCACTTGTAAACCAACGAGTCACAGCCTCCGGTAACCCATAAGTTACGGCGACCTCTCGATCCAACCATGTCACTGAAAACTGCCGCTGAGGAAAACTGACTGCAACATTTGCAGGCAGAGGGACTCACCTTGGATGCGTCCAGCAAAATCCAAAGCAACTCTGCTTATCTTAAGTTGCCATAAAAGCCAAGGAGTTTCTGACATCACAGACTAGCTGACCGGTTTTGAAAGCTAGTACAGTGCACGACCCAAACCAGTTCATCACCTTGTTCAGGGATCCATACATATACACCGGCACGGTTGGCTCCCAAGCACTGGCAGTTGAATGTCTTATCTAACGAAATATAGTGGAGGGACTGCACGGAGAAAAACATGAAGACATGCTGGCCTTCTGGTGCAAGATGCATGGAAGAACTCCACAACTGGCAGACATTACCGGCAGTAATCTATGTATTCACATGAATTCGACAGATGTTGACTAGAGCTTCAGTGCCTACAAAAAGGTTGTCCGAAAAGCGTCACAACCTTTCAGGCAGTATCACGGAGCGCCATTTGTTGGGCTTCATTTTAATTCCTCTGTTTCGAATCATGACTGACATGTATATAGTGGATGAAGGTTCCCTGACTTCTGATGTTT